GCCAGACATGGGGCACACACAGAGCTGATAGCAGGGGCTGAGGGGCACACACAGAACCAGTGGCAAGGGCTGAGGGACACACACAGAGCTGGTGGCTTTTGGGGAGGAATAGGAAATCCTATGAGAGAGGTTGGGGCACCAAGCACTTCTATTGGGGGAGTTGTATGGAGTCCCTGAACTGATGGGTGCTAGGAGGGTGGTCTGAGGGAGCTGGTGGGAGATGGAGGGAGGCAAGTCGCCCTGAGCTAGGTGAGGAACTCGGCCTACACAAACTGCCACATGGGAGCCCCTGCTATAGCCACCTCCTCCCCCCACTCCAGAGCTTGTGTGCAATGCAGCAATATTTGATAAGTAGGAGCCTACCAAATTCTCAGTCCTCTTGGGGCAGTTTCACAGGCATGGGGTTTTTGAAGTCATAAATGTCATGTTTCAGCTTTTTAAATCTGACATTTCACGGTGTAGTCCTGACCCAAACAGAACTTTGGCGGGGGTAGGGTTGCAAGGTTATTTGGCGGGGTTATGATACTGCTACTCTTACTTCTGCGCTGCTACTGGCAGGGCTGCCTTCAGAGCTGGACAGCTGTAGAACGGCAGCTACTGGCCGGGAGTTGGACCCTCCAATCGTGGTATTGCCACCCTTACTTCTGTGCTGCTTTCAGAGCTGGGTGCTGGAGGGTGGAGGCTGGCAGCTGGAGGGGATGGCTGCTAGCCAGGCACCCAGCTCTAAAACTGGCACCCTGCCAGCAGCAGCAGCATAGAAGTGAGGGCGGCAATGTCATAGCATGTCACATTTACTGCTGTGCTGCTGCCTGCAGAGCTGAGCTCTAGGGCTGCCAGGTGTCCAGTTTTCGCCTGGACAGTCTGTTTTTTCTGGCCCCCCTGTCCGGTAAAAAAACCCCAGAAAATACCAGGCATATAAAATGTCCGGTATTTTCTGTTTCGGACAGAAGGCCCGTGGAGACATTCTTCCCCTGCTGCATCTGGTGGGGGTAGGGGGAAAGCATGGGGTTTCCTTAAAGGTGCCCCCCCCCTTTTTGGGGGGCTCAACAAGTTTGGTCTTCTGGGTTTGTTTGTTTTTTCTCCGTGTTCGGGATTTTTGGTGAAAGCATCTGGCAAGCCTGTCCAGCTCTGAGGGCAGCAGCACAGCAGTAAGTGGGACTTGCTGTGGCATTGCCACCTTTATTTCTGCGCTGCTGCCGGTGGGGTCCTGGCTTCAGAGCTGAGCGCCTGGCCGACAGCCACCACTCTCTGGCCACACAGTTCTGGAGGCAGCACAAAAGTAACGGGAGGGCAACACTGCAACTCCCCTAAATAACCTTGGGACCTGCCTGCCACCTGCCTTGCGGGTCAGTTTGAGAAACTCCCCCATGTGAGAAAGGCTGGTCTCCTGTGAGGTCTGCGTGGGACAGGGTAAAAGCGCACGTCATAAAACCAGCTTTCACAGGGCAGCCCGGACTTCGTCGTCTGTGACACGTTTTTCATGGCCGTGAGTTTGGTAGGTAGCTATTAATAATGCTGCTTGGGGTGCCGAGGCCACTCATCTCTTTGCAGCAGCTGCGAGGAGACAGCTCAGCACCTTCTGCTGCTAAAACCCTACGTCCTTCAGCTAATGTACAAATGCCATTAGCCACTAGCAGTGTGGGGCTCATGACACACAGCCAAGCAGGCTGATGCCAGCCAGTAGAGGGCAGCAGCAACTCAGATCTACTGGCCAGCATGCTGCAAGGTTGAGCATCCTCAGTCCAGCCCTCCCTGCTCCGTGCACTGGACACCGCCCTGCCTTATGCCCCGAGCTGGTGATTGACCCATCCAGCCCCTCACCCCATCTCACAGCTGGACCCTGCTCCAGAGTTCTAGTGCCAGAGAGAAGGGGCTAGAACAGTGAGGTGCAGGGGCTGGGAGCCAGGACTCCTGGGTTCTAGCCCCAGTGCTATGAGGGCAGTAGGAGCTGGGGGGTTAGAGCACTGGGGAAGCTGGGGCACCTGGCTTCTATCCCCCATGTTCTGGAGGAGCAGTGAGCACTGGGAGGAGTCCAGCTCCCTGGTGGGGCCACAGGAGAGAGAGATGGTGCCCAGGCACGTTGGGGCAGGTGCCAGCTGAGTCACAGGCACCGGCAGTGTCAAGAAAAAACAAACAATCTCTGCTTCAGCCACAGGGAGGCTCCCTACAGAGCAGGTTTGGGGGCTGGTGGGAGGCAGGGGGGTTAGGAACAGGAGGAACCAGAGACAGAATTAGGAGGCGGGGGCATGGGGATGGCAGAGGCAGCATGAAGAGGCATGAGGATCAATGGGGAGGAAGCAGCATGAGATTCACGAGTTCCATGGACCATTATGATTATTGAGACCAACCTCCCGTGTAACGACCATGGAGAATCCCTGCATGAATCCCCCTTTTGGATCAGAGCAGGTTAATCACTGGGACCCCAAGGCTTTTTCAGAGGCACTGTTGGGGGCCCAGCGCACTGGGAGCGGCAGTTGGCAACAGGGAAGCACCAGGAGGGGAAGAGCTATGGCTGGGCTCTGCTGCCAGCCCCCCAACTCTGTCTCCTGCAGTCACTGGGATGTCTCCTGCCCAAGCACTCCCTCCTCTCTCAAGCCAACAGATCCAGCTCCAGCCCACACGCCGAGATCAGGGTTTCATGTTTGCAGACAGAGGTTACAGGGGCAGCAGCCAGCCTGTGCACAGGACGGGGAGCCGGGGCTCTCAGCATCTATCCCTGGCTTGGAGGAGATTGGCTAGACAGAGGGAAAACAGACACCAGGACTCCCGGGTTCAATGCCCACCTCTGCAGCCAGTACAGCATGTGCTTCCGGCAAGTCCCTGCCTCTCTGAGCCGCCCGTTATTCGCTAGCTGAGGGCTTGTCATACAGTTATGAGTGTGACCGACACGTTGTGGCTGCAGAGCAGGGGATGCCAATAGTCTGTCATGGAGAAGGCAGGCGTTTCTGTTGTTGGGAGGCCCACACGCCAGGAGTCCCGGTAGGGGAGGGAGGCGACAGTTGGAAGTCAAGATTCCCGGGCTTTCTTCCCAGCTCTGGGAGAGGAGTAGCATCTACTAGTTAGAGTGGGTGGGGAACCAGGACTCCACTCCCAGCTGTGGGAAGGTCCAAGGATTCATGTAGCTTGGAGTCCTGGGCTAACAGCGCTTAGCCCTCTCTTCTAATCCCGCTTTGATTCACTCTAGAAACCCTCCCATCCGTAGCTAGCCTTGGCTCAAGACCCTCTTCCCCGCAGTCAAGTCTCCCCTCACCATCTGTATATTACGCTAAACAGGTGGAGCTCCTGGGGTCTCTCACAAGAAGGCTGGTTTCCTAACCCTTTAATCCTTCTCATGACTCTTCTCTAACCTCTCCCTAATTCAGCCATAGCCTTCCCAAAGTGCACGCACTGGAGCTGGAAGCAGGATTCCAGCAGCAACCACACCCAAGCCAACTACAGAAGTAACATGACCTCTCTACTCCTACTCGAAATTCCCGTTTGCGCCTGTGACTGAAGTAGCACAAATACCACATTGAGTGTGAATCTGTTGTCTACGGGAAAGCTTTGTCGGTATCAGATCAAGTGTGAATGAAAACTGATGTAGTTCTACCACAGCAACCCCCTCTCGTGAGGACTCCCATTCTGGGATGGGTGCCCTTTTTGGTTTAGTTTGGCTCTCTTGAGAAGGGATGTAAGCCAGCCTCAGAAAAGTCATTCTTGTACCAACAGAAGGCATGTACCACCCAGCCAGGGCCCTGGCACACTGAATTATGTCTGTCCTGGTGTGATTTGTTTAGTCACTAGTGTTGTATTGATACATCCCCCTAGCAGTTCTGGCTGCCCAGAGTGCGAAGCTCTCTCGTTGTGGTTTGAAAATAAGCTGGCAGCTGTTTGAAAATAGCATTGACTCATGAAAACCAGATGAATTGTGGGATAGCTGGAGTGGACTCATGGGAGATCCAAGAATACACCATGTGAAACACCCCAGAGTGCAGTGCGCCCAGCAGGGGAACACTGCACCCTGCGATACCTGTGTGCTTACTACATACAAGTAGTTTTGCTATTGGCCTTATCTAACCCCATCTGAACACCTCATTAGCATTAAGGCCTTCACGGTTACACCATCCCTGACCCCATCACTATATTGTCTGAACACCTCATTAGCATTAAGGCCTTCACGGTTACACCATCCCTGAGTGTAGCACATGGTTATCCCTATTGTACAGATGGGGAAACTGAGGCACAAAGTGTGTAAGTGACTTGCCCTGTAGCTCATAGGAAGATCGTGACAGGGCTGGCAAGTAGACATGGGTCTCTTAAGGCCCTGGCCAGCATGCTAGCCATGGGTACATCCTCCCTGGTGGGGGTTATACAGCAATAATTATGGATGTGTAACTGCAACTTTCCCTGTTAGCCAAGTCCTACATCTTCTTCACAGCCAAATTACCAACTGCAGAGTCAGACTGGTAGGAGCTTCTCAGACCCTGGTGTCAGTGCCAGGCTGTGGATTCGGGCAGCAGGCAATGAGAAGATGACAGGACGCTTGGGTGGGAGGCACGCCCAGCGCCCACTGTGCAGCAGGTTAGTGAGTGGCTCACGGAGGTCAGGAGCGGCATGAAGCCGTGGGCCTGCTGGCAAACGCAGAGCAAGCCACGCCCTGCCTGTGCCTGGGGAACATTGCTAAAATCTCCAGGGTTGGCAGCTCCATCAAAGAACAGTCGTAGCTTATTCAGCTGAGCTAGAGTGCAGAAGATCTGCAGAGGGCTAGGGGACTAGTCTGGGAGCTGGGCTTGATTCCCAGCTGTACTACAGACACCCTGCATGACCCTGAGGAATTTGCTTTCCCCCTCCTGGCCACAGGCTCCCCTTCTAAATAATCCACCCGTTGTCTGATCTGACTGTGAGCTCTTCAGGACAAGGACTGTGTGTCTCTGTGCAGCACCTGGCCCCACTGTCCATCAGGGTCTGTGTGTGCAGGGCCCTACAGAATGGAGGACAGTGAGATACGGAGAGGGGCAGGGATTTATTTGCCCAAGGTCACAGAGGAAGTGGATGGCTGAGTTGGGAACTGGAGCCAGGTTTCTTGCATTTCAGGCCAGGGCCTAGCCACTAGGCCACATTTCCTCTACCCTTTCATTCAGCATGTCCTCTTCCACTTCTCTCTGAAGCCTCGAGTCTCTCTAAATAGCCTGGAGGACCTAGGACTGTGATTCTGTTTGCATCACTGATGCTATATATAAAAAAAAAATGAGTTACATTAGTTTCACAACCCGCTTGCTTTACACCCATTATCACGTGCACTGATAGACAAATGCTGCTAACGAGCAATCTGAACTCTGCCCACCCCTTTGTAGCAGAGGATTAGCGCCCCTTGCAGTATATCCATTAGAGGAAGGAAATAATCAGTGTAAACTGGAGCATGGGGAGGGAAAACGGACATGTCTGAGGTCCATCTGTAGATGGCAAAAAGTGATTGTTGGTGGCAGCAACTGTGCATTGTAGCTGAAGAAGCAGAAATGAGAGAACTGTGAATAAAACCCAGGAGTTCTGACGACCTCTCTGTCTTCTGTAGCCCCCTACACACCTCCCAGCATGCCCTGCTTCAACCTCTTAACAGCACTTCCTGTCACTTCGCCACCCAGAGCCTGTTCCTTGGGGCTTGGCCACTCAGGAAAGTTTTACTGATTATAGTTTATCAGTACAAGAGAGGCATTATAGGGTTTAGCTTGAACCCTTTCCAAGTGACATTAGTTAACCTGAAAAAAAGTCCTTCTTATACTAGAACTAGCATGGCTGGCTTCACAGCATTCAAGGCTAGAAGGGACCGTAAGACCATCTCGTCTAACCTGTATATCCCAGATCAGAGCATTTCACCCAGCCGTTCCCCATGTCTTGAGCCCAATAATTCATGTCCGGCGAAAGAATCTTCCAGCAAGACAGCGAGAGGAGACTGGACATGGAGACATCAAGAGACAGACTCCACCACTGCCGTTGGGAGTTTTCGTGGTTAATCCCTGTCCCTGGGAAACTCTGCTGTCTTATTTCTAACCACAGCAAGTCTGGCTTCAACTTCCAGCCACTGGGTCTTCTTCTGCCTTTCTCTGCTCTAAAAGGCTCTTTTAGTCTCTGGCTGGTTTTCCCCATGAAGGTGCTTTACATGGTGAGCAAGTCACCTCTTGATTTTCTTTCTGATAAACTAAGCAGATTGGGCTCCTTCAGGCTCTCGCTGGCTGGCCCACGGATCATTTGTGTGGCTCTTCTCCACACCCACTTGGATTTTTTCACATCCTTTTTAATCAAACACCACAGGTGAGGCTAAACCAGCATAACTGTACCGGTTAAAATTCACACCTTCATTCACACCCTATTGGGCGTGTTGGCAAAGTGGTCGATAAAATAGTTCCAGGTCTCCCATGTCCTGCAGCTGCGCTTCCTTTAGCAGTGATCCAGTTATTGGAAAGCTCTCCAGCAGGTAGTCAACAAAGCTCCTGTGTCAGGGAGCTGGAATGTCCGGCTGGACCAGCCAATTCATTCCTGGCTTATCGCTATTGCTGGGAGCTAGAGAGCTCCTGCACATGCTCCCCCATGAGTCACAAGACTGAGGCAGCCTGTGGGGGAGTGTGGTTTCCTGTACAATCAGTTGGCTCATCTCAGCCCTGACCAAGATAAAAGTTGTCCCTTGGATGCTGGGCATTGCACTGATCCCCAATCACTCACTGGGAGCCCCAAATGAAATGGGGGGTCCTGTTACTTAGACACCCCCAAAACAAGACTGGGGCCCTCCGTCATGCCAAGCACTGCACAAACCATCCCCTCTCCTGAAGACCAGGGTCTCCTTCATACCACGTGGGACCGTTCCTGCCCCAAGCACGTTACACTCTCCCAGACAAAAGGATTCTTCTACAGTGGGGACCCAGAGATGCTGAAAGGGGGACCAAGGTAGGGTTGCCAGGTGTCCGTATTGACCTGGACGGGCTGGTATTTTCACCTCCTGTCCGGTAAAAAATTTCAGAAAATACCAGACACCTAAAATGACACCGGTATTTTCTGATTTTTTTCCCGACCAGGAGGCAAAAATACCGGGTGCTTACCTGGCTCCACAGGGGAACTGTCTGGCCCGGAGCAGGAAGACAAGATGGCGGATGGCCACTGGCCACCTGTTAGGGCCAAAAAGCCTCAAAGGCATTTCTTAAAGGGGCCATGCTGGGCTTTTTTATTATTTTATTTTATTTTTTGCTGAATAACTCTTGGGGTCCTTTTATTTTTGTTGTTCAATAACTTTGGTCTCCCCCCCTTTTTTTCCCCCTAATCAGAATTTTGGAGGGGGGGGGTTGTGTTCGGTATTTTTGGTTAAACCATCTGGCAACCCTAGACCAAGGCCACACAAGAAGCCTATGCCAGAGCAAAGAACTGAGCACAGCTCTCCTGAGTCCCAGGCCTGTGTGACTTACCCACAAGACCCCCCGTGCCCTGCTTCTTCCTGCTGCTGTGCTCAGACCACCATCCCAGAGCTGGCAATAGAACCGGGAGTTCTGGCTCCCAGTCTCCCTGCTCTGACCACTAGACCCTATGCCCTAGGATAGATGACTGGCTCCTGTGAGGAGAGGGATGCAGGGAAAGTCACCCAGAGGACCAAGGAGGGGGCATGGCAAAATTCAGCAATCACAGTTTTGGCAGGGCACAGTGCAACTCTTGGGAGCTACCACAAGTCACCTCTGCACCCTAGGTACCTAATCTCATACTCTAACCACACATTGTTAGTCCCCCTGCCCACATGCCCATCCACACCAGGAACAGAACTCAGGAGTCCAGATTCCCACCCTTCGCTTCCCTAAAGAGCAGGCCCCACTCTGTGCTACACCAGGGGACAGAGGGAGCCTAGGAGCACTGACCTCTCCCCCCCCCCGGCCTGGATTTGAACCCCAGCTCCAGATCCTTGTCTCTGCTCTGCATGTACTCTTCAAGCCACATGCATGTCGAAGGGCCATGAGCCACGACAGCTGCCATACTGTTAGTGGTTAATGAGAGGCTTTGGCAGAGTCCTGGCTCGCAGGAGTAACACCGACTCCTGAGCGAGTTCCCTCCCCCCCAAAGCCCAATGCCAGCAGGTTACAGCGTGACTCACATTTGCTGTGCTTGCTGCAGTTGATCATTAACAACCCAGCGTGATGCTGCCATCCTAAAGTGACCGCTGGGCACGGCTGGGAGATGGAGCCTGAATGCAGGGCCTCCTGCAATGAAGTGCACAAAGGAGGAGGATTCCATACCACCAGCACCCCCACTTGTACATCCTTTACCTGCCCTTTCTGCTCTGGGGGGGGAAGTGACATGCATGTTCAAACACCAGCCATGTACACACATGCATGCACATGGCCATGCTCTCACGCCAGCTCCATACACACACACATCCAGGCTCACCATACATGTGCTCTCACACCAGCTGCATTTAGAATAGTGATAGAAATGTAGCCGTGTTAGTCTGGGGTAGCTGAAGCAAAATGCAGGACAATGTAGCACTTTAAAGACTAACAAGATGGTTTATTAGATGATGAGCTTTCGTGGGCCAGACCCACTTCCTCAGATCAAAAAAAAAAAAAGAAAGAAAGAAAAAAAACAGCTGCATTCACACACATCCCAGCTATTTACATACCCCTTGTGCTCTCACACTAGCTGTATTATCTGTCACACACACACACACACACACACACACACACACACACACACACACACAAAATCTCACCAACTACTTCCACAATTAACTTTGGACCCTGAGGAAAATAGAAAATAGCCCTAACACCCATTGGAGACACGCATCATGAATCAAAGAGCTCTCCGGGGGAAGCCCGGCCCTGCAGTTAGGACACTAACCTGGGCTGTGGAGGACCAGGATTCAAGTCCCTGCTCTGCTACAGACTTCCTGTGTAACCTGGGGCAAGTCTCTTTCCTTCCCCCCTTTGTGCCCCAAGTTCCCTTCCCACTCTATAGTCCCAGTGTGGGTGCTACAGGGCCGGGATTGTTTCTTTGCATGTCCCTGCAGCACCTGGCCACATAGGGGCCCTGCTCTCAGGTGGGACCCCAGGTGCTACTATAATGTTACTAATAAGGTGCATTTCCCTAACAAGCTCCTATGCTTGGGCTTTTCGTGTGCTTTCGTAATGCATCTAGTAAGTTAGCCACACGTACAGTAACCTCGCTGAATGGGACATCAGGCGCCTGATGAGTGTGTGTAGCAAACACCTCTCAGAAAGGGTTAAAGAGAGTGCTGAGCAGTTGTAACAATTGACCAGCCATTCATTAGAACACCTAGTGAGTTATTAGCTCTTAAAAGCCTGTTTGGAAATGGAACTTGAACAGAAGTGTTGGCAAAAGGCCCCCAATTCCGTTCTTACTGCAAGCCCCTTGGTGCTCCAGCACATTCAGTGCAAGGCTGAGGCAAACCAAACACTCACATAGCTGGAGCCGAACAGACAAGGGTTAAAAATTGGTGATGTCTCCTTTTCACAGCTCAGAGTTTGCTGGAAGCCTCAGTTCTTTACCAGTCAATCAATCACTCGGCAGAGAGCCCTCTGAAATCAACAGCTATTGTTGTATCCAAAAATTACCTGCCAAGATTCCAGCCTGGTTACCTTGGTGACAAAACAACACACGCGCACGGTTGACACTTGGGCTCTCTTTTTAAACATGCATTAGCTCTCCTCGCTGATAGCAACAGGTACAGGGAGAGGTTTGTATTGCAGCAGTGCCTAAGCATCTACTCTGAGATTGGCTTTCCCACCATGCCAGGTGCTGCACAGACATACAGGTTCCATAGAGATCAAAGGGGCCCCCTCATGCAAGATACTGCCCAGACACACCCCAAGTATTATCTGGAGCCCCACGTTGTGCCACGTGCTACAACACAGACCCCCCCCAGATAAAAATATGGGGAATTACTCCCCCCCTTCAAGCTGTGCTACACAGACACAATGGGAGCCTGACCTTGCCTTGAAGAGGTTAGAGTCCAAGCAGATAGAGGATTATTCACCCCATTTTGCAGACAAGGGAAATGAGGCCCAGATGAAGTGATGTGGCAGAGGGTTCCCAAGCACTGTGTGGCAGAGCCAGCCCTTGAGGCCAGAAGTCCAGCAGGCTTGTGTGGTGCTTTCACCAGAAAGCTGCCACTTCATCCAACCTGGCAACTTGATACGGCCCAGCTCGGCTTTGGGACGGAGCAGGAGTCGTTCCTGCCCAGGAAGTGCTATAGCAAAAGTAGCCTTACAGGGGATCTGAGGAAAAAGAGGGGGTTTGTGGAAGGGAGGGGCTCTGCCACTGCCCTTCTGAGGAGACCTTGGCTGGGCCCTTTCTCCTCACACCCTTTAATGGCTGAAGTTCTGAGCTCAGCAGGGTACAGATGGTCTTTCAGTCAAGGGATTGGGGTCTGGGCAGTGCTCCCTGCGAAGGGGGCCCTGATCTCCTTTGGGCCTTCTGGGCACTACCCAGATGCAGTCTGGGCAAGGATACACATGCCATAAATGGGGCTTCAACCTCACCCTGGGGCAACACTTGGCCCAATTGCAACCCTTCCCCCCACCAACGGAGCTGCAGCAACAAGGCAATACCATATTACTACTAATAGTGCACACCATGTAATTGGCATTACCATAGTGTTATTAATTACATGCGTGTCATAGGGGAACCCTGATCTTGGTCATCATATCTTGGTTCTACCTTGCGACTAGTACTCATGCACCTGCTATAATGGGTCCCCCCCCAACTGGACCAGTGCTGGCACAACAGGGCCCCCTTCCCTCTCTCATAGGGATACAGACACAGGTGCACTAAAATGGCAGGGATTTCAAAAGCTGTTTTTAAACAGACATCATTTCTGAGCTACAGATCAGGAGCTGAATAAATCACATTTGCTTTCAAGTTAGTCACATAAGCCTCTACTGTGGTCCCATGGAGAATATGCTTTGCCCCTGAAATGGTTGATTAACTTTAGCAAAAAATAAAAGGTAATTTCCTGCCAAGTGCCAGGCCTGGTTTTCTGAAGTTTGGTTCCTACAAGATCTCCAGCACGATCAAGTGCTTTACCTAATGCAGCCAGCGCCTAAACCAGAAAAACAAGTCCTGTTCAGTTGGGGAGGGTGAGTAATTGTATTTCCACTGCCTTGCAAGAAGGAGCCAGCAGAGGTAAGCGTTACATCATAGATGTTTTTTTAAAAGGCTGCTATGGCCCAGAGTTTGAGACAGGAGTGGCAGGTAGCAAGCTGCGAGATGCTACCTTGGATGTGATTCGCGGGTCCTTTTCTGGTGTATTATTATAGTAGGAAAAGCAAAGTCTGGTCTCCACTGGGCCATTCTATAGACTGCTGGAGATCTTAAGAGGTCTGCCAAATAAGGTGCCAAGGAAGTAATATCTAGATTATAACATGCATTGTAAGGTTACCAAGGCACCTCACTCACAACCCAGGATCCCCTTGTGTCTGGTACTGCCCAAACACGGAACAAGAAATGGTCCCTAAAAAGATTTTTTAGATCAATTTCAAACTGTTCTTCTTCCAAATGTAAATAAAAGGCACCCACAAATCTGCTTCAGATTGAAGCAGATGCACATGGAGGGAGGAAAAGCTACAAGAGCCAGTTTAGGTTCCGTGCTAGAAGAGACAATCTGTGACTTGCCAGCTCTTTCTCTACATCAAACAGATGTTAAACAAGAGCATTTGCAGCCTGTGTATCACAGGAGTAGCAGAGGCAGGATTAGAACCCAGGGTTCTCAATAGCAAGCCTGTTGCCCCCTTCCCGTCACTCACCTAGAGCACACACCTTCACTTTTAGCCAAGTGATAATCCATTATTGGGGGGTAAGGGCTAAATTCCTTGATCAAGATCCAAACTTCAAAGAAAAATAATTAAAGAAATCATAAGTAAGAAAGTGGTAGAAATGTAGCTGTGTTAGTCTGGTGTAGCTGAAACAAAAACCAGGACTATGTAGCACTATAAAGACTAACAAGATGGTTTATTAGATGGTTTTTAATCTGAGGAAGTGGGTCTGGCCCACGAAAGCTCATCACCTAATAAACCATCTTGTTAGTCTTTATAGTGCTACATAGTCCTGTTTTGTATAAGTAAGAAAGATTTTGCTGTCCATTCAAAAACATCTGATGGCCTGGATGCGGCCCATAGCCCATCTGTGGACTACCCTTGCTGTAAGCCCTTGTCTGCATACAGTATCTGTACCACTTTAATTCCATTGGTGTAGTTAAAATGGAACAATGCACCTGACATAGTCAGAGTTCTACTATTATCAATGTACTTTTGCTAGGGCAATGCTGTCCATGCAGCAATGGTTTTTAAACCAGGGCACATAGACCCCAAGGGGTATGTGAGTTTTCATCAGGGTCTACACATAAAAAACTCTGTAACAGTGGGCACTACACTTTATTTAGTAAGACTTGCCATTCTAACTATGGATAGATTATGACCCTGTCTCAGATGGGGGTAGATTGTAGCCTCTATTTGGAAAAGGGTGCACGGCAAGTTTGAAAACCACGGCCCTACAGGAAGAAGGGGAAGAAACGAGACCAGCCTCAGTAACAGATCTGAGAAGGAAATTTCTTCTGATGCAAAAGTGGCCAGAGGTAGCTGGGACTTTCTCACCTTCTTGACAGATCAAAGATCAGCCACTGCTGGAGATGGAGCAGGAGTTGAACTAGTGCTCTAAGGTGGTCCCAAGAACTCTCTGGCCTTGACACGTGGTTGGTGGATCCTGCTCCTGTGCTCAGGTTCTAACTAAGCAGCAAATTTTTGGGTGTGAAGGAATCCCCCCCACTTCAGAGTGACAGAGACGGGGGATTGCTTTCCTCTGCAGCATGGCATGGGGGTCACCTGCTGGGATCATCTGGCTACGTCTCACCTCAATGATCCCTGGCCATACCTGGGGCGTCAGACATTGGTGGCCCCTCCTATTCTGGGCCCAGGGCTCACGAGAGGTCAGGTACCTCAGGACTGAAATGCTTTAGTCTCACTAACGTCATTGAGCTAAGTACGGAGGTGGCTGGGTGAAGTTTAAAGGGCCTGAGATACACCAAGGGATCAAACTAGATGACCTCATGGTCCCTTCTGGCCTTAGACTCTCTGGAACCGCAGCCGTGCTAGGCATGAGTATCTCTCCCCCATGCCCCAGCCATGAGTACAAAACCTGTGGGTAGGCCAGGCCCGAGCTTTTCCTTCGCCGATGGACACCTCCAGTCCTGCATGTGTTTAACTTGAAGCATATGTCTCATTCCCTTGCTTCCCCTATGATGATACCCATCTCTTTCAGGGACCAGGCCTTTGGTCCACAATGGCTGGGTAGACTAAGGAAATTATTCTTAACTAGGAGGGCAAATGGGCCCCCAGTTCTCCCCCACCCACAGGGTTAAACAGCCAGCAGCTGGGAGTGGAATTCAAATTCACCCTGGAAATGCCAAAGCAAATTCTGTCTGACGGCCAGGAAGGTGGCTGATTCCCATCACATGCAGAGCTTTTAAATCAAGCCTCGACGTTTTGTCCCCAGCGTGATAGATCTGGACCCTCCCTGACTTGTGGGCTTAACTCAGGAAGCAGCAGGAGAAATGCTCCAGCCTGGGGGATGCATGAGGCCCAGTCAGACCATTATAACAGCCCCCTTCTGGGCTGGACCTTAAATTGTGAACTCCGCTTGGCTTGTAAGCTCTCTTGGGCAAGTGGTGCTTCAAGAGAAGCCAGCACAGAACCTGGCCACATGGGGCCATATCTCTGCCCAAAGGCAGGAGGGCTGGGCAGCATCTAGCACAACCGGGACAGAGACATGCTTTTAGTCAGCTGGAACAGGACATTGGCCCTGCTTTCAGTGCAGGGGTCTGGCCAGCAACTAGCTCACCCCTGCTGCCTAGTTACCCCCCTCGCCTCCTCCTCACACACATTCATTCTCTCTTGGGACCGGAGGTGGTACTGGCCTACTCAAAAGGACAGCTGGCAGAGGCGACTGGTGCCTGTGGGGAGGAGAGGGTGCAGGTGGGGCCACCCAGAGGAACAGGGAGGGCGCGTTACTGGGCACCCCAGTTGGCAATTGGTTTAGTGGGGAGACAGAGGGGCGGTGCCCACCCAAGTTCTACAATGAGTCACCTGTGACAGCTGGTAGCAAATGAGGTGGCTGTAGCTGAATGCGGGAGTTGCAAAAGCTGGGAGGAATGTTTGGAAGATGTCAGCTGTTTGCAGGGGAGTACTAAAGATGCTTATGGAAGGAGGCCATTGGCCCAAACCTTTGGGAGGAGCTTGCCTTTCACTTACCGGTGGTTCCTCAAACACACAGTCAGGGTGCTTTGAAACAAACTAAATGGGGGCTGGGTTCCACAAACAGCTTGTTGCTGCGCTACAGCCAGACTAGCTCAAGGGTGAGCTCTTCAGGGGAGGAATCATCTTTTGGTCTGTTTGTTTGTACAGCACCTAGCACAATGGGCCCCTGGCTGGGGCTGGGGCGGCTGGGTCTGACTGACATGTATCAAGACAGATCCATTCTGGGTAGAATTAGTCCAACAACTTGGGGTGTTTTCCCCCCTTATCACACACCTCTGAAA